GGAGGAGGAGGAGGAGGAGGAGGAGGAGGAGGAGGAGGAGGAGGAGGAGGAGGAGGGGAGGAGGAGGAGGAGGAATGGGGCGGGAGGGGCTGGTGGGCTCCAGCAAAGGGGCTCTGAAGGGGTCCCGTGGAGCTCGGAAGGTTCACGGGAGGTTGTCTGCGCCCCCCCCTCCAATGTATCGCCCCCCAGAAAGGAGAGCCCAGGGTCGGGCGTTTCCGTTTTCAGGGAAGAAACATGGGGACCATGACCAGGATGATGTCGTGGGATTTGTCGACCTTGATTTTGGTCATGGTCCATGTCGGCCGCCTTTGTTTTGCGAAGGTGATCCACGATTTGACCCTGATCAAGTTCAACGGTGACCGAGATCGATACGACGTTCCCGCGTTCAGTCTTGGTCATGGCCCCACGTTTCTTCCCTTCCAAAAGGGATGAGGGCGATAAAAATGGTGGGGATCGAGGACTGCAGGAAATATGGCCCCCTCATGGGCCCAGCAGGTGCACGAGAGGTGCGCCTCTCGTCGCCCCCCCATCCTCCATCGCCCCCCCCGGTGCGCAGAGGGCACGGGGCGGGGGCAGGACTCGGCACGACCCCGGGCCTCGAGAGCCCTGGTGGCCTTCACCCAAATTTCGCCCTCTAGGGGCTGCTCGGATCAGGCGATATATCGCCCACTCATCGTGGATACGGGGCCTCCTAGCCCACCCCGCCCAGGAACGTGCGGTTTTTCCTTGTTGGGGGCATATCGCCGACCTGTCGGCGATGCATCGCCGATTCCAGGCCGGTGCCCCCCCCCCCCTGAGCCAGTCCCCGTGACGTTCCCCCTCAGGGACTCAACACGAGCCCGGGCTTCATTCGGTGGCCCCCAAGTGGTGCGGTGGTGAGGCTAGTGGGGGTTCGGGGTGACCGCGCGGTTTTTGAGCACGGTACACGGGTCGTTTTTCAGGGATGTCCCGGCCGACTAGGGCTTCCAGGGTCCGAAACCGTGCGGTGACGGACCGTGAGGTGGGATCTCTTGGGATTTCGAGGTCACCACACGGCCTGTCCCCGCGCTGCGTTGGGGCTCCCAGCTGAAACACTGGCGTTGTTGCTTCACTTCGCCCTCCAATGACTGCTCGGGTCGGGCAGCAGCGGGGGGGGGATATCGACTGCACGTAAGAGTGACCTTTCGCCGGAGTGACCTTTGGTGCAGGCCCAATGGGGTCCCCCGATCGCTGAGCGCGAAGCGGTAGCAGCGGCTTGCGCGCCCATGTTTGGCCACCCCGCGTCCCCCGTTTTGCCGCGCACCAAAGGTCACTCTTACCCAGGGCCACTCTTACGTGTAGCCGAGGATAGGGGAAGGGGACGGTACGACTTTTGCTGCATGCGGCTGGTCTCGGCCCCGCTGCTGGGCGCGTTCGTGGATGCATTGGCGCCTTCTCCCTTTCACGGTGAAGGGAGCGGGGCACGCCACGACCAGCGACGGCATCGCCAGAGGAAGGGAAGGGGGAGGAGAGGAGGGGAGAGAGGCGGGCCGAGGTGCGAAGGGGATCCAGAGAACTATGCCAGGGCCCAGCAAGTTCCCAACACTTCTTCAGACATGTTGTTTGATCTTATGTTTGAGCCTCGGCAGCGGCGGCGTGGTCGATCCTCGAACCTCGTCTGCCCCCCATGTCGAGAAGGAAGACGAGGGGCGATGGAGAGGAGGAGATAAACGAAGACGACGACGAGGTGGGATGAGTGATTCGTGAAGAGAGGGGTGGTAGGAGTAAAGAAAATATAGGAAAATGGTGATGAGGAGGAAGAACAACGAGGAGGGAGAAGGAGGGGGGGAAAGGAGAAGGGATGAGGAAAAGGTATCGGACAAAAAGCAGGGAGGACGACGTGAGCGGAGTGGGAGAGGAGGAGGAGGAGGAGGAGAAGGAGGAGGAGGAGGAGGAGGAAGGAGGAGAAGGGCAAGCAGGACGAGGAGGGAGGGGGAGGGCGGGGGGAGGACAGGGATGAGAAGGGAGGAAGGGGAGGATGAGAAGTGGGTGGCGGGCATCCCCGACAGGCGCCGGCCCGTCCTCCCCCTCCTGCGCGCCCGCGGAGAGCGGCGGCTTCCGGCCGACGTTGGCTCCGGCGCTGAAGGAAATCGCCGTCGCCGATGTCGTCATCATCGCTCGAATAATGAAAATTCGCACAGGCATACTTTCTCGGAGGTCCGCGCGGATCTCGCGGATCTGCGCGTAAGTCGGGCCTGTCCCTCTGCAGGAGGAATACTCCCAAATAGTCAAAACTAGTATGGAGACGATTTTTAAAAAATGATTGTGATAACATGTTCGCCCGAAATCCGCCTGTAGGAGGACATGCCCGACCTAAATCTGCGCGGGGCCCCCTTGGCGGCGCATCCGGCGCCGCCCCTTGCGCGCTCCACGCACCAGGGAGGGGGTCCGGTGCCGATCCAAGAAATCCGCACGGACCGCCGAGACATTAGTCTACGCCGTCCTGCTTCCCCGATCGACGTCGTCGCCATCGCCGTCGAGGCTCCCAGACCCCCTCGGGTCATGAACAAGTCACGATGGAAGGTCTTACAGTGGAGACCCATGCCAAGAAACACCCTGCTTGCCTCCAGGGTGCCCTGGGTTTTTTGGGGTCTCGATGGTTCTGCCATGGAAAGCGTGAAACTCCCACACCAAAAGGGGGGTCCTATAGGGGGCCACATGCGAACCCTACCCCTACCCCCCACGATTTCTGAGGGGGAGGGTGGGGTTCACTTCGTTCGGGAGCTCCCGAGCGAAGTGAACCCCACCCTCCCCCTCAGAAATCGTGGGGGGTAGGGGTAGGGTTCGCGTGTGGCCCCCTATCCTAAGGGCCTCTTGGAGAGTCTCGGGTGTCTTGGGGGAGCCCCCTGGGACCTTTTTTGGAGACCTCTTGGGGGCCTCTTGGGGCTTCCTGGGATCCTCTTGAGGCCCTGTTGGGGCACTGTACGGAGACTTTGGGGCCATCTTGTTGGAGATCGATCAAAGAAGGAAGAGTCTTAGATCAGCCCCCCTTCCTCCCATGCAGGATGCCAACATTGGCCCAAAACCGATGGACAATCAATGATTTGTGCTTTCTCGCCGACGCCTTCTTGGACGCTCCACTGGGTCGCGGGGTGTCCGGTGCAGGGGTAGGGGTAGGGAGGAGGTATGGGGGAGGGGTAAGCCCTTCCCCGAAAACGGAAGCGGGAGGGTTGGACGTGGGATCGTTGGGAACAGGGAGCGGTGAACACGATCTTTGTTTGTCTTCGCAAGTGCGCGAGCTGGCATTGCAGCAAGTTGGCCTGGAACTTGTCTTGGAAAGGATGGCCGAAGATGCCTCGAGTAGCTTCCAACACACAATTCAGGAGGCCCCCGAGAGGCCTAGCACACATAACATTTATGGGTCGGTCGGCAATTTTGTTTTGAGGCTGTGCGAATTCTTCGATGAGAATCTGGTGAGTTGGATCACTGTGGGGCCACATTTGGGCGCCCTTCTTCTCCTCATGCCTCATGCCTCTTCCTCCTCCCTCCTCCCCCTCCCCAGGGCGGCTTCAGAGAAATGCAATGTGCGTTGAAAGGGCTCAAGCATTCCCCCGCCGAGGTCGACAAGTTGCCCCAGGTCCCACAACCAACCCTGATGGACCGCGCGAGCTCTGAGGATAGGGTGTTGGGGCGCTGGAGTCGATGTCTCGACCTCCATTAGGGCGAACCAGGTCCTTCTGGTGGGTGATCTCTCGCTCTGGGGGCGCATGTCTCCCCGAGTGTACCAGCATTTGCAGAATTGGGTCCACGCATCCCTTGCGATAGCGTTGCAATGGCCGTGCTAGATTACACCACTCGGGTCGCATCACATGGCTTGCGCCACATATAGAGCACAGCATATACTGCACCGCACAGATTGCACCACATGTATTGGCCCACGCAGTTGGCGCAACATAGGTCGCACCACACACATCCTCCTTACGGGCAAGGAATTCGGATCTACTACCACCCCCACCCTCCTGGACTTCGCGTATTCCCCAGGGTAATACATTTCACATGTGATTCTGCCCCGTCGCCCATCTCAAAGAAGAGCTCGTAGAACTCGTATCATGCCAGGGTGCGCCGTGCTCCGGCCCCCCCCCCCCCATCAGCCCTGACAAGTCCAAGTTTCACGTGCACATGTTTGATTGGACCAACCATCCTTTGCAAGAGTTCCTCGCAACGAAAAGACCAACAAAAACGTCCACGCGCGCACGGTGCCGCGCGCGCACGCCGACATCTTTCAACAACCATAGACATCGTAAGAGTTTCAAGATTGAGGTTCCCGAAACCACATGGAATTACATAACATGGTTTCGCAGCGTGGCTTCTCAAAGAAATCTACGCGCCCTGGCACATACGAAACCATCGGTGAAAGTGTTCATCAAATGCGATCAAGCGGGCCGCCCGCTCGCGCAGGTCAAAAACATTCGAACGCACGTGCACGCTTGCCGGGTGGGGACACGGTTCTTGTCAAAGAAGCCCATGCCGGCCATTGGCGCCCTCTGCCGCGCGCGCATGTCGGAATCCCTCAAAACTTTCATCACTGACGTGTGGACACCATCATCGTCACAGGCGTGATCAGCATCGGTGCCGTCCTTGGCCTTGCCGTCGGAATCGTCACTATGGTTGTCAGCATCGCTACTATGGCATCATGTCTGCCCTTGCCGACGTCGCCATGATACCGCGCCCGCCTGAGTTTTCGACCCGCACTGAAGTGCTCGCGCGTCAGCGCGTCATGAGGGACGCGTTGGGAAGTCCTCAGCGGTCAGCGCCACCGCGGCCGCGCCAGACAAGCTGGCCGCTGCGCGCGCGAGCTTAAGCGCGCGCTACCGCGTCCGCAGCAATCCGCCAGCCAGCGCCGAGCAGTCATCACAACCGCCGCCGCATGGGCTTAGCAAGCCAGCATGCGGGCTTGGGGGTGGGATGACTGCGCGAACACAGGTGTTGGCAACTCATGCCAAACAAGAAGTGCTACCACCACGATGTTGCATCTACCCTACCCCCTGTCGGAGTTTCCTTCGCTGGGATGTGAAATTTACATGTGATTCTGCCCCGTCGGTCGGGAACCTTACGAAGTCGCCCCATCCCAGCCAAGCTGGGTTCGACCCCCTTTATTGGGGGAGGGTGATTAATTTTGTGCGCTCCCCCTTTTTATCAAACGCCAACATTGTTCAAGGACACACCAAAACAAATGGGCAACGTCCACGCGCGCGGCGTCGGGCGCGTATGCCGAACTCCGTGAGAAAAGAGCACCGCGGGTGTCGCGTGGATTTGGAAATTGAGTTTCCCGAAAACATCTGGGAAACAACATAACGTGTTTAGCAATGCGATGATTCAATAGAAAGTTCGCGCGTTTTTGCGGGTTCGTTAAAAAAACATGTTTCATATAATAACCGCTTCACCAGGTGCGACCAAGCGAGCTTCTCGCACGCGCATGTCGACATCAAACGAACGTTGTTAACGCGACGTGTGGGATGGTGTACGGTTTTGAGCCAAAGAATTTGATGCGGGCCACTCGCGCGTGTCAGCTGCGCGCGTGTTTCGAAATCTCTCAAAACCCTCATCGCCGACACGTGGACACCATCATTGCCATCAGTTTGATCAGTATCGGTGCCGTTATTGGCGTTGCCGTCGTCATGGTCATCGTCAGCACCGGGATCGCTATGACCATGATCGTGCCTGCTGTCGTCGACGTCGCCATGATATTGCGCCCGCCGGAGTCACACAGTCGCATTGACGCGCCCGTGGCCATCGCGGCTTGCGAAACGCGTTGGGGAGTCTTCAGCAGTCAGCGCCACCTCGGGCGCGTCGGTCGCGCCGGACCAGCTGAGCGCTGCGCAGCGCGCGAGCTTGCGCGCGGTAGCGCGGCCGCAGCGGTGCGCCAGCCAGCGTCGAAAAGTTATCGCAATTGCCGCCGCAGGGGTTTTGCAAACCAAGTTGCGGGTGGGTGGGTGGGATGTTTGCAAGAATTTGGGCGGTGGTCCCGCTCGAGGGAGGCAAAGTGGGTTGCTCCGCATAGGTGGCGCCACACATTCTGCTCCACATAGGGCGGGCAACATATATTGCTAGAAACACAATGCGTGGGGCGCACATGAGCTAGCATTCGCATGTTAGGCCTGTTAGGCCTGAAAAGCCGATTCCTCCAATGCAGACTGAACCCAGATCGCATTTGCAGTTTTGGGGATACGATCGTTGGAGGTCGATGGCGCCGTCGTTGTCGTCCGCATCGTCCTCATTGTCCTCCTGTTACTCGTTTTTGTCGCGCGTTTTCAGCGGTGGGAGGGGGGGAGCGAGCGCCTGAAAAACCGACCACGGACCACAAGGATATTGATTTTCGGGCTCTTATGTTTTGTACATTCCAGTGATGAAGGGAAAGTTTGCGTGAACCAGGCGCGGGACGCACAAAATGTCGATTGCGAGGGAATGTGCTCGCAAGCTGACCGCGTAATTATAGCAGCGCGTGGGCGACCCTGTCCTTCCGCGCGGCGTACCGCGATGTCGGCTTGCGCAAGCCATCGCGTGCGTTCACCGCGTCATCCTGCGCAAGAGAAGTTGCATTGCGTCGCCCAGGCGTGCACACTGTGTTCCAAGTCTGCGGGCGCACTCTATGGGCGCACTGTTCCGCGAAGCGGGATGCAAGCGCGCGGGGGCGGTGCAGCAGGTTGTGCGGAATCTCTGGCGGGGAGCCGTTGCCGTGGGGAACAGCCAATCTCACCACAGCGGGGATGCGCAGCCAGACACCGCCTGCATGCAGCCAGGTTGCCGTCCTCTTGCGCTGATGTCAGAGGGGCTTGAGAGGACAGCCCCAGGGCACCCAAGTCCCCGAGCCGACATCTCCCACCCAAGCCCGCGTGGGTCAGGTGTCGGGTGTCTTGAAGCTCTTGCGGCGGAAGTCCTGCACGGAAGTTGGTCCTGAGGGATATTGGCATTGGATCCCGGGGCCTTCTCCCAGAAAAAGTTGTTCGTTCCAGGGAGGGCCTCGCCCCAAGATCTTTCTTCCCCCGGGAAAGTTGTGCTGCCAGTCTTTGGGCCCGGGGAGGGCCCCGGGTGGCCAAAAGCGGCGACAATATTCTGAGCCAGTCATTTGATGGATTTTGATCCGTCTCCCCCCGTCACCACCACCATTTTTTTTTGACGTTGACCGGACTCTACGCATACACCATGATCCTCAACATCCCCCTTATCATCATCATCAGCAGCAGTTTCCTCATAACCATGATCATGATCATCGACACCATCAGCATCAGCATCAGCATCATAATCAGGTTAATCATCATCAGCATCATCATCACCATCATCATTATCAGCATGGTCATCACCGTTATCAGCATCAACATCAACATCAACAACAGCATGTTCATCATCGTAATCATCAGCATCATGATCATCACTACCAAGAGCATCATCAACACCATAATCATCACCTGCACCAGCATCAACATCGTTACCGTCAACATCGTCAGCTTGATCGTTACTGGTATCGATTGTCATGTGCGTCATCATCCTCATCATCATCATCATGCTCCTTCTGATCGTCATCGCCATCGTCGTCGTCGCTGTCGTCGTCATCCTCATCATCATCATCATCATCATCATCATCATCACCAACAGCAGCAGCACCGCCACCTCCAGCTTCATCAGTATCAGCACTAGCATCATCATCAGCAGCATCATCTTCATCATCAGCATCATCATCCATACCATCAGTATCATCATCAGCATCATCATCATAATCAGCATCGGCATCATCAGCATCATCAGCATCATCATCACCTCATCATCCTCATCACCCCCATCAGCATCATCATCATCATCATCATCATCATCATCATCATCATCACCGTCATCAGCATCATCATCATCGCCTCATCATCCTCATCACCCTCATCATCAGCATCATCATAGTCAGTCATAATCATCACCTCATTATCCTCATCACCCCATCAGCATCATCATCATCATCATCATCATCATCATCATCACCCTCATCAGCATCATCATCATCCCCTCATCATCCTCATCACCCTCATCATCAGCATCATCATCATAGTCAGTCTCTTCCTCCCTCCTCCTACTCATCCCCCTCCTATCGCTCCTCCGCCTCTCCTTCCAGGAGAAGCAGCTGGACAGCTTGCCAGATTGGGGGCGCCCCGGCGAGCTGCCTGGCGGAGACCTGTTCGTCCACGGCAGCGGGGAGTGCGATCAGCTCGGCCTGGGCGACGCGCAGCGGGAGAGGCAGAAGCCCACGCCCGTGAGGGGGCTGCCCCAGGCTGCGGGCAAGATCTGGTGTTCATGAGCCGATAACTACTACAGTCAACGCGCCTAGTAAGGACTCGCGCCTTCATCTAGCATACCCTTGCGTCCTTGCCTCTGTGGCCCGTCCTTTGCCGTTTTCACTGGTCGCCGCCGCCCAAAAAATCCCAACTTCAGCCTCCAAGGGTCGTGCGTCCTTACCACGCGTCCTCAATATACGTTTTGACTGTACTACCCATACCTACCTTTGCGACCCCCAGATTTCTCGGGACCAAAATCCCAGGGGGGAGGGCTACGGGTGCGTGTTGTCGGATGGGGGTGCCCGCCCGAGCGGGGGCCCCCCTCGAGGTCCGACCCTCGCACTCACCTGTACAACGCTTTCATCGCCTTGCCCTTCCTCCCTCCTCCCTCCTCCCTCCTCCCTCCTCCTCCTCCTCCTTCCCCTCCTCCTCCTCCTCCTCCTCCTCCACCTCCTCCTCCTCCTCCTCCTCCCCCTATTTCTCATCCTGAAAGGTTTGAGCGCGTGTTGCCCTTTCATCATGATGTGCGTATCCACTGCGTCTCGGATTTTCGGGTTCCTTGCCGAGGAAGCCCGAGGCGCAGTGGCTGTGGACAGGATCTGGCCCGCATCGAGGCCAGGTGTTCGCCCATGCCCACGGGAGCTCAGGGTATGCGGTGCATGTGCGATGCATCGGCGATGCATCGGCGATGCGGCCCGATGTGCTTGGCATCGCTCGGACGTGGTCGTTATTTCTTTGGCGAGGACCATCGAGGAGCATCCTTGATCATTTGGCGAAATAACCGCGCACGAGACCGAAAAAAACACAGGGAATGGACGTCCGAGCGATGGCCAGTGTGGGGCCCCTTTTTCCCCACGCCGACGTCGCCGGTGCATCGCCGATGCAATGCCGATGCATCGGTGATTCATCGGCGATCTGGCGCGATCCTCCGACCCCATATGCTCTGACCCCATCTAGGAGGCAACCTGACCGAGTCAGGGTGGTCAGCATCCCTCCACCAATCATCCGAGACTCGGGGGCAACAGGGGGGATAGGCAAGGGGGGGACGCATCGATCCCCAATCTCCAATTGATCGCCGACAGGAGCCCGATGACCCTAACCTGCCAAGGAAGGCGCGGATTCACTATCGAAGCCCTGACGCCGATCCAGCGGCGATGCATCGTCGATGCCAGGTCGATGCAGCCCTCCCTGTGCCAGCCTCCCCCCTGTCGCTGCCCCTCCAAGACGCCGCGGGGGCGCGGATGCAGCTCCTGCCCCTTGGCATCGCTCGGACGTGTGTTTTTTTCCCTCGGCGAGGACCATCGAGGAGCGTTCCTGATCATCTGGCGAAATAACCACGCACGAAACCGAAAAATACAAAGTGGATGGACGTCCGAGCGATGGCCAGTGCCCCTCCAAGATGCCGCGGGGGCGCGGATGCAGCTCCCGCCCCGCACAGGCGCGCATCGTGGACCTGGCCGTCGGCGCGCTGCACGTCGTGTGCCTCGCCGCGGACGGCCGCCTCTGGTCCTGGGGCTGCAACGACGACGGGGCCCTGGGCCGCGCCTGCGGCGACACCACGGACTGCGAGCCGCACCCAGTGGATGCCGCCGGGGGGAAAACTGTACCGACCTTAGCAGGGACCATGTCGACTCCTCCGATTCGGTCGATTCGATCTCGGTGGTTGCCGATCCCGACTCCGATTCGGCTTCGGATTCCGAGCTGGACTCCGGCGCCCCAGTGGAGGCCCACCAGGCTGCCGATGTTCGCTGATGCGGCTTCTCCCGAACCAGCTGCCGATCTCCGCCGATCCGAGTCGCTTCGATCGCCGATCCGACGTATCGATTCGATTCTCGGCTCTCCTGCCCTGAGATCCAGTCATTGCAATAGTTCCGCACGGTGCGTTTTCGCGCAGTTTCGAGCCTCGGGAGCCTCAGGGAGCGGTCGGGCTCGAGAGATTCCGCAGGAGGAGGAGGAACAGGAACCGGCCTCGAGTCGAAGATGAAAGGGCCACCTCGGCGGCGCCCCCAGCGCCGCCCCCGGCGCGCCCCGCGCGCCGGGAGGGGGGGGTCCAGCGCGGATCCAAGACATCCGCGCGGAGCACCAACAGTTTATGTTTGTGGCCCTTTTGTTTCTCCCTCTGTTGAGATCTGGACATTGCCATGTCTCCGCACGGGGCGTTTTCGCGCAGCTTCGGGCCTCGGGACCCTGCACGGAACGGTGGGGCTCGAGGACCTCCGCAGAGAGATGGGGGCCGGGGCTCCAGCCGAGTTTGTTCTACGGTGTTGCATTGTTGCTCGTAGCGTCGGATCTCATGGAGGCTAGCGGTGCTGCTGCCCCCCCATAACCTTTCCCGTTTTCGCTTTTTTGGGCCCCCTGCCACGGGCCTTGTCGCCACGGCTGGATCCGCTTCGTCATTCTGGTCAGAGCGCACCCTGGGAGAGTTCTGGGGAGCAGCGTGATCGGTATTTCTACGCCCCTCCCAGAGGAGATGCCCCTTGGCGTCGTCGTTCGGGGGATGTCCTGCGGTGATAACCACACGTGTGCGCTGGACAGCTTGGGCCGGGTCTGGCTGTGGGGGACCTACAAGGACTCCAACGGCCACATTGGCATAGCCCGCAAGAGAAAACACGGCGTGCTCGAGAAGAGCATGGAGCCGGCAGTGATGCTGGAGGGCTGCGACCAGGTTTGGGGGAACGATCAATGACATAAACATACAAACTCGGAGGTCCGCGAGGATTTCTCGGATCGGCGTTGCGGCCCCCTCCCTGGCGCGCGGAGCGCGCCAGGGGCGGCGCCTCCGGCTCCGCCAGGGGGCCCCAGCGCCGATCCGAGAAACCCGCGCGGACCTCCGAGTTTGTACGTTTATGTCGCTGCTCCTTCCCCTGCAGGTGGCCAGCGGCGCCAACCACACCGTGGCCTTGCAGACCAGGCCTCTCCGCAGGGTCTTCGCGTGGGGCTCCAACGGCACCGGCCAGCTCGGCCTCCCCGGGGGCGAGGGCTGCGGGCTGGCGGAGCGCACGCTGCCGATCGCGGGGGGCAGGGCACCGGGCGAGCTGAGGCCGCGGGTGGGGGGCGGCACAGAGGCCTCGGGGCTAGAACCGAAGAAGCACGAGCGTCATAAAACATAAACATGAGAGCGCCATAAGCATAAAGAGAAAGAGGGAAGAAGAAGAAGAAAAAGGGATGAAACAAAGGGAAGAGAGCGCCCGAAGAATCGAGGGAAGAAGGAAAGCGCCATAAAACAGAACCATGAGAGTGCCATACACAGAAAGAAAAGAGGGAAGAAGAAAAAGGGACGAAGAAGGGGAAAGAGAGCGCTCAAAGAATCGAGGGAGAGAAGCGCCATGCACATGAACTTCTGGCGCGCCGCGCGGGATTCTTGGCACCCCCGCCGGGCCCCCACCCCGGGGGTCGGCGCCTCTCCGGCGCCGTCCCCGGGGTGCGCCCCACGCGCCGTGGAGGTGGGGGGGTCCAGCGCAGGGGAAAGAAGTCCGCGCGGAGCGCCAACCTGGCATCGCTCGGACGTGTTTAAGTATTTTCTCGGCGAGGACCATCGAGGAGCATTCCTGATCCTTTGGCGAAAAAGTCACGCACGACACCGAACGAAACAACAGGGAATGGACGTCCGAGCGATGCCAGGCCAAAAGTTTGTGTTTTGGCCGTTGTCTCTTCTTCCCTCGGTATCCTTCGACCAATCCCCATTCGCATCCCCATCCCCGTCGAGACCCCCACCACATTACCACCCCAGTTGGGGACACACCCCTCGAAATCCGAAGGGAGCGACCTACATCCCCATCTAGGGGGGTAACTCGGTCAGTGGGGCCCAGGCCACGCCGCTAAGGGTGGGGTTGGGTTAAACGATACTCATTCTCAGACTGGCCATGAGCAAGACGCCGCGGGATCTTGCCAACGCCGATCTCAGTCGTGGTCCGTGCGGGCCGTCGCCAACTCGCGGGGACGGTCCGCGAGGTGGCGCGGACCAGGATGTACGGTTATCACAGGTCGGTACGACGTTCCCGCGTTCAGTTTTAAGTTGGGCATGTCCTTCTATTGGAGGAATATGTAGAAATAGCCACATAGTTTCCGGACGATGTTTCTAGTGTGTTTGACCCTTTTTAAGTCTGTTTGACTATGTTTAACATGTCTTCCATAATCCGCCTGTAGGAGGACAATGCTATTTTGAGGATTTCATCCAGAATCCGCCTGTAAGAGGACATTCGCGATCTAAGTTCAGTCTTGGTCGCGGTGCCAATTTCACAGTGGAGACCCATGTCAAGAAACACCCTGCTTGCCTCCAGGGTGCCCTGGGTTTCCTGGGTCTCGGTGGTCTTGCGATGGAAAGCGTGACGCTCCCATACCAAGAGTCCACGGGCGTCCTGGGGTCTCAGGGCCGCGTTTCTCACGGAAGGTTTCTTGTGAATTGGCCTCCGCTGCATCTCTCTCCAGATGACGAACGAACAACACACACCCATACTCACAGGGGGGTCGTTGGGAGGAGGGGTCATAGCCCTCTCCGATCCCCCTATGGGTATGGGTGTGTGTTGTTGGTTCGTCTCCAGAGGTGGACGGCCTGCGCCTGTCCCGCGTCATCGAGGCCTCCGGCGCCGAGCGGGGCGCCGAGGCCATGAGGCCGCCCGAGGTCCAGCAGGCCGCGGCGGGCGGCGCCCGGGCGCTGGTGGTGGAGCTCGAAGACAGGGAAGTCCCCAAGCGGGTGGGCCCATTCTCCACCACCACCACCGCAGGCAGGGCGGAGGAGGAGGGAGGATGAGGAGTCCTCCTCCTCCTCCTCATCCTCCTCCTGTCTCCCCCTCCTGCTGTCTCCTCCTCCTCCTCGTCCTCCTCCTCCTCCTCCTCGTCCTCCTCCCTCTCCTCCTCCCTCTCCTACCGATGGAAGCGGTGGTGGAACATCGGCCCATCACAAGCCCGAGAAGCAGGACCTCCTGATGCCACAGGATCCGGGGCTGGGATTCGTCCACACCCACCGCCTGGGGGATCGGTCTTCGGAGACCTCGGAGGGCGGTGGATATGCAGACATTTGGGCGCCAGAGGGGCCCAAGCAAAATCCGCATCTGCCGCACTCATGGGGGCCCAGCACTCCGGGGCGGCGGATCTGGACAACCCCCCGCCTCGCCCAGGAGGTGTCGCTCGACGCCGTCCGCGCCGGCGTGTCGGGCGTGTTTGCAAGCGCGGACTGCACGTTCCTCGTCGCGGAGGACTCCACGGTGTACGGCTGCGGCCTCAACGGCGACGGGCAGGTCGGGCTGGGCTTCATGAGCATGGCAGTGCTGGCCGTGCGGGAGGTGCCGGGTGCGGCCGGCGCGTCGTGGCTCGGCGGCGGCTTGCACTTCACGGCCGCCCTGGTGGGTGGCAAGGCTCGGGGGCCGCCAGTTGTGCGCCTGCGCCGATCGTGGCCAGGCCAGTCTTGGGCCCGAGATCGGTGCGCATTCCGAGGAGGGCGAGCCGGGACCACGGCAGGCCTTCTGGAGGGGCCCCTCGTCGTCACGGCGGGATGCGGCTCGGGAAGCCGGTGCGTTTGGGCCCCGGGAGGGGTCTAGGGGCTGGCGTTGTGTCGTTGAGTTGCCATGGTCTCGATTCGCCCTGCTCCGGTGGATGCAGTGGAGGCACATGCCAAGAAGCACCCTGCTTGCCTCCAGGGTGACCTGGGTGTCGTGGGCTTCCACGGTTTTCCCATGGAAAGCGTGACGCTCCCACACCAAAAATCCATGGGCGTCCTGGGGTCCCAGGGTAGGATTTCAAATTGAAGGCTTCTGGTGGACTAGCCTCCACTGTACATGTGTAGGCATCCGTTGCGAACCCTGGGATCGAGGGCGTGCGCACCGATCCCGGGCCCTGGAGCGGGCCCGAGCGCTGCAGATCTGCAGGCGTTGGCGTCCTCCCCGCAGGTGCTCACCTGGGGCAAGGCCGACGAGACGGGCCACGGCCTCGGGCACTCGGCGCCCCCTGTCCTCCAGCCCCGCGCGCTGGCAGGCCTGCCGGAGATCCGCGCCCTGCGCTGCGGCAACAGCCACTCCCTCGCCTGCTCGGCGCGGGGCGACGCCTTCGCCTGGGGCTGCGGCCTCACGCACCAGCTGGCGAACCGGCCCAAGGACTTCCTGGACCCCTCGGACGCGGACGAGGAGCCGGGCGACGAGCTGCGGCCGTACTGCATCTCGTCCAAGCAGCTGGAGGCTTACCAGCCTGGAACATATCCCTATCCCTATGCTGGGCGTGTCCTCATTACGATGCCAATCTTAGGGATTCCCGCATTTTTTGAGGGCGAATCCATAAGATTGTCATCGCCTTTTGGCGTGTCAATCTTAGGGATAGGGATACGTTCGAGGCTGGTAAGAGGCCAAGTTCGTGCTCCTGGCGGACGGCGGGGCGCAGCACAGCGTGGAGCTCGCGTGGAGCGGCGAGTACTGCAGGGTCAGCGCGGACGTCGCGGCCCCGCCGGCCGCAGGGTGCGAGGCCGCCCCCGCGGGCGCGGAGGAGCAGCCACCCGCGAAGAGGCCGAGGGCGGAGGCGCCCTCCGGCGCCCCTGCGGCGGGCTTCGCCTACGACGAGCAGAGATGGGAGGGTCTGCTGGCAGAGGCTGAAGTCCAATGAGTGGCGAAGCGTCCTGGCTCGCCTATAGCCCTAGCAAACAATGTTCTAAGAACCTCTTGTGGTATCCACGAAATGTTCGTAGAACATTTCTGGCTGGGACTGCTAATGCTCTAAGAAAATTGTTTTGTTCTTGCATCATTTCTGGGTTCTAAGAGCATTTCGTGGTTGGACTATAGGAATGCCGGGACGGTCGGTCCCTGCTCAATAAGTCGGGCATGTCCATCTACAGGAGGCATATGCAAAAAGAGTCCAGGAATAGTCCGGGGACGATTGTTCGAGGATGTTTGATCATTCGGGGGTATTGTTGGGGGGACTATTTGTAAACTTTCGTCCAAAACCCGCCTGGAGGGGGGCGTGCCCGACCTAAGCAAAGGCGCAGAGGGAGCAGAGCGAGCCGGGCCACGGCACACCAGTGGAGGTGATCCACAGCGTGTTCCTACGAGGCAGGCGGCCCCAGACGGGCGTGCCGCCGCCCCGCCGCCGGTGGCAGGCGCCGGCCGAGGAGGCGGGCGGCGCCGAGGAGGCGGGCGGCGCCGCCGCGCGGCGGCGGCCGCCGCCGACGGGCGACGCGGAGGCGAAGCGCCCGAGGAGGGCCAAGGTCGGGGGCAACGACAGGGGGGGATTGGCCCCGGGGGGGGAGCATCGGCCCCCCATCGCCCCTCGATCGCCGACAGGGGCCCGATGGCCCCACGCCGCCCAGGCAGGTGCGGAGTCACCATCGGGCGGCGAAGCGCCGATCCATCGGCGACGCATCGCCGACGCCAGGTCGGGGCAGCCCCCCCTACGTGCCCATGCCCCGCTGTCGTTGCCCCTCGCAAGGGAGACGAGCTGCGGGCGGCCGTCGCCGGGCCCGCGGCGTGGCGGTCCGTGCTGCGCGGGCGGCAGCCGCTGGGCCGGGTCGCGACCATGGGCGACTGGCTGAGGGCCAGGCCCTGCGCGTGACCGTTCGCGCGGGCTGGGCCTTCGGCGCGTGCGGCGGGCGGGTCGGCGAGGCGGCTTCTGTGCGGGCGCCCGCCGGCGTGAGCGAGGCCGAGGGCGGAGTCGATGATGGTGAGGCTGACGCTGGTGACGATGATCCAGGCCTCCTAAATTGGAGTCGGAGTAGATGGGGTCGGAGGATCGTGCCGCGTCGCCGATGCATCGCCGATGCGGCTCGATGTGGAGCCCGATTCGCTTCACGTCGACGTGTCGCCGATGCATCGCCGACGTCGACGATGCGATGCATCACCGATGCATCGGCGATGCGGCGTGATCCTCCGACCCCAACCTCCCACCCCATCCAGGAGGCCTCTACATGACGATGACGAGATGGGCGACGAGATCAAGAGAAGGTTGATGACGGTGGTGGTGGTCGTGGTGGTGGTGGTGGTGGTGTTGGTGGTGGTGTTGGTGGTGGTGGTGAAGTTGTTGATGAGGGGTAACTAGAAGGGGGAGGTTGGCGTGGAGGACGGTCGATGCAGCGCGGAGCGGACGGGAGTCTTCGCTCGACCGCCGCGGCTGTGATGGTGGCGGTGGCGGCGGTGATGGCGGCTGCTACGACGAGAAGCCACCATCATCGGTGGCGGCGGTGATGGCGGCTGCTACGACGAGAAGCCACCATCATCAGAGCAGGCACCAGCAGAGTCAGGATTTAGTGGACGAAGATCAGGAAATCGCAGACATGGATCAAGGGGGCGTGGAATTTGCGACGAGTCCCGTTGCCACGGGAAATCTGTGATCTCCGCCGCCGAGCGAGGCGGCACCGGCCGCATTTTGGGGAGGGCATCCCCCCCTAGACCATGGATTTGGCGACCGCGCGCCAAATCCATGGATCGCTAATCCATGTTTGCGCGCCCCCGAATTTAGTGGAAGAAGAACGGTGTACCATATTCGTCCGCAGACGGGGACGCCTGCCCCAGGGCGACCAGAAAGTTGTTACCCCGACGTGCCACCGCAGATGTGTAAACCTTCCAGCCGCCATCGGGCAGACGTCCCGAACGGCGAACAAGTTTATGCTATACACTTCTTTCTCCGCTAAATCACGGGCCGCTCAGTCCCACCGACAAGTCCAGCCCCGATCCCGGCGGGGAATTCACACTGACCAGGGAGATCAGGAAGGCACGGCGGCCGCGTCTCGAGCCCATCACCCCTCCCGCCAGCGTGCCATCGGGCCAGATCCATATTCTGCGGGCCCAACCGTCTCCATCCTCGTGGGTCGAGGATCGAGAAGGAGAGGCCTTCCTCTCCCTTCCTCCTCGCGCACGCGCGTCAGGGGCAGAGTTAAGGGGGCATAGGCTCAGGCGGGCATGCATCGACCCTCCAATGGCCCGTTCATCCTCTGATACCGGGCCACAGCCCCGCCCCGCCTAGGAACGTGCGGTTTCGCTATCGGGGGCACATCGCCGATCTTTCGGCGATGTATCTCCGATTCATGCTCCATGTTCCCCCCGCTGAGCCAGTCTCCGAAGTTCAGGAGGGACAACCTGTGTTTACGTCGCAGCGCGGCAAAGGCAACCCGTACGCGCGCTATAGCGGTCTGGGCAACCAGACGGGAAGATCACACAGCGGGCGCGATTTCGACGACGACGACGACCACGATGACGAAGTCTTCGACGACGACGTCGCCGAGAAGGAGAGAAGACCAGAGGACTCCCGAGGTATCCCTCCTCTTCCTCTTCATCCCCCTCCTCCTTGTGGAGTATGCGGGTAGCTTCCTGGCGGATGGCAACAACTCCTTGCCCCCTCCTCTCGGGGATACGTAAGACTCGAGCTCGCCGGAACTCGGGCTTGCCTGCGTTAATTTGACGGGCTCGTCCTGGATTGTGCCGGTCCAGTTTTCGTGGGATGTCTGCAGCGGTGGTTCTCGTCAAATCTCAGATTGGGTCTCGTCATTCTCCTGACGGCCCGTCGGGCCAACCCGAGTCCCCCGAACCCGAGTCTTACGTCTCCCTTGGGCGTCGCGCGCTTGACGAGCTCTGCGTCCGGGGCATCCGCCGGCCGCCAACTGCGGATGCGTTTGAACGACGCGTCTGTCCGCCAGTTCCTCCTCCTCCTCGTCCTCGTCGTCTTCCACCACCTCTCACCACCAACCGAACCACCCCAACCCAACCCGAAGGCCCGAATTTGCCCTCCATTCCCAGTGGGGGGGGCGTCGGGGAAGATTCGGGGACCCCTGAACGGTGTCGTGACCACACCGTGTTGTGAGTTGGTAGCGGTTCTGGGTCACCGCACGGTTTTGGGATTTGGGTCGTTTTCCGAGGATGTCTCGGACGGCTGGGGCCTCCAAGGTCCAAAAACCGTGTGGTGATGAACCGTGCGGTGAGGTCCTTCGGGATTTTGAGGTCACCGCACGGTCTACCACCGCACGGTTTTGGGACCCCCAGAGCATTGAAAAACACATGGGAAAACGTACCCCCCAAACCCGAAAATGGGATTTTCGGATTAGGTTTGGGTGGTCTGGTATGCAGTCATCCTCGGCCTCGTACTTGTCATCCTTCTCTGCGCGATCTCCCGACGACGAAGACGAGGAGCTGCACCAGCAGCGGCCGCGCGGCCTCAGGAGCGGGTCGGGGGCCTCCTGGTCGACGCTATCTGCTTGCAGGAGAGCCTGTTTTTGCCCTGCGCCGCACCAGCCATCGACGACGACGACGACAACGAAGATGACGACGACGACGACGACGACGACGACGTAGACGTAGACGTAGACGTAGACGTAGACGTAGACGTAGACGACGATGATGAGGACGACGACGACGACGACGTCCGCGACGAAGACGACGTCATCGTGGTCGCCGGCGTCTGCGTCAGCGCCCCTGGGTGGAGAGAAGCAGGGCCGAGGGAGAAAGGGGCGAGAGGGGGAGGAGTGAGGGAGGTTGAGGGAGGAAGGTCTCAACTCGAATCCCATTCGGTATTGTTTATGTTTGTTTACCTGTGTATATCAGCACAGAGCAGAGTAGAGAATGTGAAGCAGTGTGCATTTACCATGTTGTATGACCCTGACTGTTTGTGATCAAGGGGCCCCTGAGTCACGGAAGAGGTTGCGTATCGCTTGGTTGTTTTGACCAGAAGTTGGTATCCCAGAGTATTTGTCCTACGACAGTCCCTGAATAGATTGAGTGTGCCCTCGTCGATTGATATTGGTAGCGGAGCGGTGATCCACCCCATTGGCCCCCTCGCTTTCAGCCGCCATGTCCGCCACACCCAGTGGGGGTGCCCGCATGCGCCCGCCGCACGCAGTACAGCGCTTCGTGGCCCCATAGAGAGCTCAACCGAATGCCCCGGTGGGGAACCCGCATGCGTCCGCCACACCCAGTACAGCGTTTCGTGGCCCCACAGGGGGCTCCACGGCCCCAGTGGGGGTGGCCACAGCGTCTGCCACACCCATTTCGGCGCACCTCTCACGTTTCGTGGCCCTACAGGGAGATCCACCGAAGGCCCCAGTGGGGGTGCCCGCATGCGTCCGCCACACCCATTTCGGCACACCCTTATGCCGGACAAGGACAAGGCAAAGGGTAAACGTCACGGTGGCCTCACTGGCTCAATACCAGAGAAGCAGAAGAATAAGGATTAAGAATTCGGTGGTGGAACCGGTTCAGCAGTTGATTCAGGCATGGGGTCGGAAAGTGGGGCGCTCGTTGCAGTTTCCCCCCCACAGTGGTTCCAGGATTTTGAGCGGCGTCTTTCCAACCATATCCAGGGCAGCACAAACGACCTGAATGAGTTCAAGCTAATTGTGGATGAGGCCAGGAACGAGGCGGGAGAAGCAAAGCTGAGGACGTCGAATAACGTATCGACCAGGTAATTAGAGTCGGACATGGAATTTCTTAAAGCTGAGCTCCATGCGGCCTACGTTAGCAAGCAGGAAATGAGGGACCAGGTCGAGGCAATCATCGAAGAGAAGCTGACAGTCATTTGCGACCGCCCCCAAGGAAAACCATGTCCAGAACATCCCGGGGGACCAGGACGAAAAACGAGACGTGCAGGTTATCGCGGGTGGGTTAAACGAGGAACCGAACGGACACGCACTCGTTGGAAAGCTGAAGACGATCACAGAGGCCATGAACATGTCGAGTAAGAGCGACGATAGTTTCACTTACGCGGGCCCTTCCAATATTGGCGTGGTCTAAGTCAAATCCACGCTCGGCAAAGTTGGTTTTCGTCGCAAGGTGCGTGAGCAAGACAGGTGGTGGGACGACAATTTTACCATGTGGGCGAAGAACAGTACAACTATGGAGCAACGCGCCGTGGACACGACATTGGGGCACAGAAAGCAGACTCATGAAGGCGGGGCACCTGCAGAGTACGATCCGCATCGGATGGGGTTCTGGCGCGGTCAAACTTACAGGACAAGTTGTAGCTGAGGTCGACATGAATGGTGCCATCACGGCGCATGACGATGGGAAAGATGGCCAGGGCAAGGTGGAGACGTCCATGAAGGAATGGAGGCAAGTTCGCGATGACGATCTTTGACAATGTCGTCTTCCGACAAGTGACCCACGCGGCTTCATCGCCGGCTGTACGGTACCAAGTACCTTTACCACGAAGGCGGGAGGACACGGTATTTATACAGACATTGCCGGAGATTTCCCGATCGCGGCGCTGCGACACCAGGCGCCTGCTATACCCAAATCTTCACACCCGCAGTCTTCAATTCTTGGTTCTCCATCTTCTCCACCTCGACGCTCGCATTTTTCATCATGCCATTCTGCTTCGCGTGCCCAGGATACTTGCGTGATCCTGAGCAATGGGGGCCGCGCCGACGAGTTGTTTACATAGCTATCGACAAGCCATTGGGCTTTTGTGACTCCCAACGAGACGCAGCGGATCATCAGACACGGGTTCTTGACCACATACGACCGCCATGCAATTACGGAATGTGGGTACGCTGTACGCTGACAACCACAGATGCGTGGGCATCGCAGCCCAATGTAAGTGGGTACGCCGTGCACAAGTTTTTCACAATGTTGATGAGCAAGCAATTTGCTTATGTTAAATTGGGGAGGGGCGCCAGCGCTCTCCAACAGTTGCTGCGCATTTCTTTCATGGAGGTTACGCGGGCAAGCATTTTCAGCACTTGCACGACGCCCTGACGCGCACCGCCAGGACAGCCAATGGGGATCATCGCACGGCTATCATTGGAGCCGACTGCAAGGCGGAAGTTGGGCAGCAAACGGACGGGGATACCAACCGCATCATTGGTCAGCGCGGCTATTGCGCCACGGATGCCCGGGGGCTCTCGTTTAACCAGTGGGCGATAAAATCGCGATTGCTAGCGCAGCCACCAGCTCATTCTTTTACTAGCGCAGCCACCAGCCCCAGCGGCGAATGCCCAACACATTCTTTTTCTAGCGCAGCCACCAGCTCTACACGCCCATGTCCCCACCAAAAAGCAAGCATGCAAATTGATGATATGTTGGCCGATAAGTTGGCATGGGCGCGCGCGCGATCGCGAGGCAGCTCCTTGCGCCGACCTCCGTTCCGATCATCGCGCGCTCCGTCGTCGCATTCCTTGGCTTTCGACGCCAGCGCAGGCGCCGGGCAAACTCAAATCGAAGCAGAAGTCTAGGAGGGCAGTGCCAGCATGGACGCCTGATCGCCCCGCTGATTACGCCATTGCGCCCGCAGACAGCTTGGGGCGCGTGCTCGCGCGCCGCCGGCCCCAGATCACATGCGAGCTGATTGAAGAGCTGTTCCAAGGTGCCCCTAAACGCGCATCTAGTACGAATGACACTTGGCGCCAAGCGCGAGCTGGATCATCTGCAAGAGCACGCGCGCTGATCAAGGGACGACAAGACATGTTTATGGAAGATGATGTGGCTCGGCGGCATTTGAACGGGCGAATCAAGCAGGAAAACCGCACCATCAAGAGAACTTGCAGGCGAGCGGTCGCCGACTACATTTTTTCACAAACTCCGCGGCGCAATGAACATCTTCGGCGTCGAGTCGAACACGCGCGAGGATTTCATTGCGCAGGTGACGACCCACGGCTTTTGCGTCGTTCGTAATCAACAACATATCGCTGATATTTTCGCCGATTCTGCCAGGCGCTGCACATGGGCGCGCATGAGGGTGACGCGTCGACCCAGATGACCGACAGGAGCGCTTCAACAATGCCAGAGTTCACTGACCAGGAGTTGATTCGAGTTCCACGTGCGATCGAGAGACAACAGAGCAGCTGACCAAGCGGGCATCGCGGCAAATAGTGCGAAGACAGGAGGAAGTTCACTCAAGCAGCGTCTGCTCGACTAGCACAACAGCGCCATCGAGCCGGATGCGCCGACGCCGCGCAGCTGGCAGCATACCATTGTCAAAGTGCCGTTCAAGAGTGGCGATCCTCAGCCCCCGCGCAATTAATTACCGGCCAACAGCAGGCAAACCTGCATTATACAGAGCATCTTCGCTGATATTCTACAATCGACTATGCCCAATTTTTGACCACCGGCAGAGCGCGGACCGAGCGAGATTCCGAACGCGTCGCAACACTACCAATTATTCGTTATTTGCGGCCTCATTTCAAGAAGCTGCGGAAGAGTTGCAGATGCCTTTTGTGTATTTCCGCGATCGATTTCAAGGCAGCGCTTGATAGCGTCGCGCATGCCAGTACATTGGGCAATTTATTACAACAACATGCGCCGCCATGCTATACCGACGCGCTGCGCAAGCTCCACCATCAACAATTTGGCGCTGTCAAGACAGATTGAGTCCGCAATATTTATTGTATTCAGCGCGGCGCACAACATGGCCACCCGCTCAGCTCTCTTCTACTCAAGGCCGTTTCAGAGGCAGTGCTGCGGAGCGTGAAAAGCTAAGTGGCGGGCGGCTGCAATCGGTGTTCCGATTCACCTCGCTGGGGTAACGGTTGACCAATATACGGTTTGCCGACGACATTCCATTGACGTTCGCATCTCTTCCGCATATCAGAACCACGATTCACGACTTGATTGCAAAGGCCGCGGCGGTCGGACTCCAGCTCCACCCAGACAAGGCGCAGATTCTCAATCATGGGCACCCAGCTTGGCCAAGACGAAAAGCATATAATTATGTCACAATCGGCGACGCGAGCATCGAGGCATTGCCCCGGCGCAATCCGCGATGCATCTCGGCGGGAAGTTTCAGTTCAGCGACGCCAACATGACCGCAGTGGAGACGCGGATCGCCGCTCCATGGAAAAAGTTCCGCGCATTGATGCTAGAGCCCTCTTCGCAGTCTGATTCGTGAGCCAGCCGACTGAGACTCTTCCAAGGATGCGCTACGCCGACATTTTTCTATGGACGCGAAGCTCGGGCCCCGACGGCAGAGGTCACGCGGCGGTTGCGTCGCGCCCAGAGGCGCGCATGATCGCTCACGCGCCACGACGCCGCGTCGAAGGCCAGCCAGCTTTTGCAAGGCCAGCGGCTTCCCAGGAAAATTGCTTGCACGAT